TTGGCCCCGCACTGAAACGTGTCACATTGAAGGATATCAACTCTTTCATCACCTTCGTCCTACAAAGAGCGGAGGAGCGTTGCCCTCTTCTGTCAAGATGACCTACGCCCGTCACGCCTGGATGTTCAAGTCCCAGCAGATGTGGAAGCATTATGGGTTGCGTGTCGTGCTGCGACGGGCACACCCACGCCAACACTGCTTCCATTATAATCTGTAGCAGTACATACCATCACGCCTCGATCACCCACCAGAACACTCTTATCAATCATCTCATCACCACCTCAGACACCTCAGAGTTAGGTACCCATGTGCCGGGTGGTATTATGTGAGAATTTAAATAAATTGACACCACTGATATCAGGACCAGCTATCACTCTCCTGGGTGTGACCTTCCCCCACACACGGTCCAAAACACCCTTGACCTTATCTTAACTGACTTAAGCGGACCAGTACCAACCTCCTCAACCACTGCACTCTATAGAATTGTAGCACACATATCAGTGCTCTGAGCCCTGCTGCCACTCCCACTCCAAGTACAGAGACCTACATCAAGACCTACCAGGCCGATTACTGACTCTGCAGTACGCCTCTTTGGACAGATGGATAGTTCACTATCCCTGGACTGAAAGTACTCAGCGTGGATGACGTGGAAACCAAATGGATAGAATTATACCAACACACCACCACCGAAGCTCACCACCACTTCTTCCCGAAGTCCGTCAGATCTCTCACCAGCCTGACTTGCCTGGATCACACCTCGGATCAAAAGACTTATGCAACAGAGAGACAAGGCCTTTCATCTCAATGACCACACCCGCTACAGGTCACTTAGCAACAGAGTCATCCGCAGAAATCGCACTGCAAAGAGTCCACTACCCGACTAAATTACAACACACCTGAAGCAGACCAACATCAGTCAATGGTATGGTAAGCTTAAAGAGAACTCTGTGGACTAAACAATATGACCACATCACTCACTTCCTCCCAGCCATCTCTAATGTTTGACGCAGCTGAGCAAACAAACCAACCATTTCGCTACTATATGCCAGACGCTCCCGGCTTGACCTGGCCACTCCCTCTTGCCACCAGCCCCCCTTCCACTGACTTGAAGTAGAAAGAATTTGACGTAGCAAAACGCCTGGACAAACTAAAAAAAAAATTAAAACGGCTCTACCACCCCATTGACTTACCAATGAGACTATTCAAGGAGTTCTCCCCGGAGCTTGCTAAACCCCTCTGCTCCATCATCAATGCTTCTCTCAGTCAAGCCAGATGCCCAGCTGACTGGAAGACCTCTTATGTATCACCAATTGCCCAAGTCCTTATTTTAATCCTTAAATCAACTACGACCTATGTGCAATCACCCCAATACCCGGCCTAATCTGCTTGAAAGTTTTGTGTTTGTTTTGGAGCTTATGCTGATATTGCAGGAGTCGTAGACCCTCAACAATTTAGCAACATAAAAACTTCTCCACACTCACTGTCTTGTCAGCTTTCTCGATTGCCTTAACCGCCATCTCGAGAAACGAAAAACGTCTGTAGCTGTCGCTTCATTGATTTCACTAAAGCGTTCGACCTAGTCGTCTAATATAATCATAAACCATTATTGACCTCGAGCTTCGGAGAAATCTCATGCAAACACAGACTTCCTCGGTGACCGACGCCAAGCTGTACGCTTCCCGAGGGCTGTCTCCACCTTTCAGTCACTCACCTGTGGCGTCCCCCGAGCACCAAGATGGGACCACTCTGCTTCATATGCTCATCAATGATGCCCTAAGAAACACCTCGCTGGAAATATGTCAGACTGACTCCACCATTGGGTCATCAACAATTTGCTCCCCAACTATACCGCCCTTCAGGATTTATTAGACAGTCTCCAAAAACTGGGCCACAACAACATGTATACACCACATCAACCATACCAAGAACGGTTATGCACATCAACCTCTCCTCCGACATTGTCCCACCTCAGCTTCCCATACCCTGCGGTCCAAAAGACACATCGGGTTGTAGATTCACAGGCTTTCCTCCGGCGTCACCATAGACAACAAACTAAATTGGAAACCACGTGGTGAGTTGTCCGTCCTCCAGTTCCCATCTCCACACACTCCTCCGCCGACTCAAGTCCCCTCAGGGTTCCACCGCACAGAAGCTCCTCCAGTGTATACACAACATTCATACTTTAAGCTCTACTATGCACTCCCCCACCTGTCTTCCTCCTAAATGCCTGTGTAAACACCTAGAAAAAGTGCAAAGGGGCATGGTTATTCTCCCCTTCCTACTCCCACATATCAAGAAGCGCTCAACACACTGACCCTTTCAAATATACTGACCATCACCACAGCCTCATCTGCAAATTTGGTGAAGCTTCTACACCATCCCCGACACCGGCCCCTACTACCACCCTGAGATCCCTGGCTCCGAGGTGCTGTTCGACACCTGACCACATCCAACCATACGTGCACAGACAGTCAACTATAAGAACAGCCCAGTCCCAACCATTGTAAAATTATCAATAACATGTAATAAATCGGTGTATTCACTCCCAGTATTGCTGCTCCTACCTTTGTCACTATGTTGAAATGGACTTCTTGATGCAGGCTGATCATCTAGGATTACTATATGTCTTATTTAGTGTCACTTATGTCCTTGTATATTATTTGTAATTCATGACCCATTCTGGAAATATGCTGTATATTTACTTTCAGCCTTCTGAAACATAGGCTCTTTCAATAAACCGTTAATTATTATTATTATTATTATTGTTATTACACACCCCACAATACACACCCCAATACACACACCCAATACACACCCACCAATACAAACACCCACACACACCCACCCACACACACACCCACACACACCCACCCACCACCACAATGCACACCCACACACACACACCACCCAATACACACACACACACACACACACCCACCCAATACACACACACACACACACACCCACCCAATACACACACACACACCCATCCAATACACACACACACCCATCCAATACACACACCCACACACACACACACCACACACACACACACACACACACCCACACAATACACACACACACACCCACACAATCCACACACACACCCAATACACACACACACACACACACACCACCCACACACACACACACACACACACACACCCACCACCACCCAACACACACACACACACACACACACACACACACCAATACATACACATCCACACACACACACACCCATGCAATACACACACACACACACACACACACACACACAATACACACACCCACACACACCCAATACACACACCCACCAACCCAATAAACACACACCCACAGAAAAAACCCACCCAAAACACACACACACCCATCCACCCAATACACACCCACCCACCAGGTACAGACTCCACCACTACACACACCCACCCATCAATACACACACCTACCCACCCAATACACACACACACCACCAATACACACACACACACACCCACCAATCACACACACACCCAATACACACACACATACACACAGTCACCTACCGCCCACCACCCCCACTCACCTAGGCTTGCCCCCCCACACATAACCCACCAATCAAAATTACACTGTAATTTCGCCGTCATGGATTTGAACATTGAACAATAGTGATGATCTCTCGGCTGTGTTCCAGATTCCTCTCTTTTGAACTCCTGGTCTGTGTGTCTGTTAGTTCTCTGCCTTCTTTACCATTGTTGAAAATCCCACTGGAAAAAAAATCCCACCAAACCTTAACTCATTGGACAAAATCCACCAAACGTTAACTCATTGGACAAAATCCCGCAAACGTTAGCTCATTGGACAAAATCCCACAAACGTTAACTCATTGGACAAATCACCAAACGTTAACTCATTGGACAAAATCCCACAAGGTTAACTCATTGGACAGAATCCTCTATGAAGCTCAAGTTTGTGCAAGATATCAGTGGTCTATTAACTTTAGGTTTAGCTTTCGTGGGATTTGTCATTGAACTGCTTGTTTTTAACTGTGGTTGGCCTTTACATTAGCTCTTAAGTTTAGCTGATATTTCAGTATGTTTAAGCAGTTTTGAATATGTTTAGCTGAGGTTTGAGTAAGTTTAGCTGTGGTTTGAGTAAGTTATCTGAGGTTTTGAGTATGTTTTAACAACAACAACCTTCTGTTCTCCATCACCTATAACATATACAAACAATGTTAACAGCTACAGTAAGATGGGAGAAATAAAAATAGGCAGATATTGAGGTAGATACTGTAGATAGATAATGAAAAAGATAGCCACGAATATTGAGAGAGAGAGAGAGGAACGAAACATATACAGTATATACAATATCACAAGCGACAGAAAGATCTCATAAATCAACAACCGGGGTGAGTATGACCCGCCAAAGTGGCTCCCCGACCATGTCCTGTTTGTGTCACCGATCAACGCCAAGGGGTGTGGGGGCGCTCTAGGGGGCTGAGGCGCTCCAAGAGGGGTGAGGCGCCCAGGGGGTGAGGCGCCCTGGGGGTGAGCGCCCACAAGGGTGAGTGCCTGGGGTGAGGTGCCTGGGGGGTGAGGCGCCATAAGAGGGTGAGCGCCACAGAGGGGGCTGAGGCGCCTGGGGGGTGAGGCGACCAGGGGGTGGGGGCGACCTGGGGGGGTGAGGCGACCTGAAGGGGGGTGAGGCGCCCCAGAGGGGGTGAGGGCGCCACAAGGGGGTGAGGCGACACAAGGGGTGAGGCGACACAAGAGGTGAGGTGCCACAAGAGGTGAAGCGCCTTAAGAGGTGAGGCGCGCCACAGAGGTGAGGCGCCACAGAGGGGTGAGGCGCCACAAGGGGGTGAGGCGCCAAGAGAGGGAGCCTGAGGCGCGCCATGAGAGGCCTGAGGCGCCCTAGGGGGGGAACCTGAGGCGCCACAAGGGGTGGGGCGCCAGCAAGTGGGGGAGCCTGAGGCGCCACAAGAGGGGGGGCCTGAGGCGCCCAAGAGGGGTGAGGCGCCACTAGAGGGGGCCTGGGCGCCACAAGAGGGGGTGAGGCGCCATGAGAGGGGTGGGGGCGCCACAAGAGGGGAGAGGCGCCTGAGAGGCCTGGCGCCATGCAAGAGGTGAGGCGCCACAAGGAGCCTGAGGCGCCACAAGAGAGCCTGAGGCGCCCTGGGGGAGCCTGAGGCGCCACAAGGGGGGAGCCTGAGGCGCCACTGGGGGGAGGCCTGAGGCGCCACAAGAGGCCTGAGGCGCCACAAGAGGGGGAGCCTGAGGCGCCACAAGGGGGGGAGCCTGAGGCGCCACAAGGAGCCTGGGCGCCACAAGAGGGGAGCCTGAGGGCGCCACAAGAGGAGCCTGAGGGCGCCACAGGTGGGGGCTGAGGCGCCACAAGAGGAGCCTAGGCGCCACAGAGGGGAGCCTGAGGCGCCACAAGAGAGCCTGGGACCCCACAAGAGGGGTGAGGCGCCACAAGAGGGGAATCGCCTCCAAGAGGTGGCGCCACAAGGGGGTGAGGCGCCACAAGAGGGGGTGAGGCGCCACAGGGGGGGCCTGAGGCGCCACAAGAGGGGGGGTGAGGGCGCCTGGGGGGGGAGCCTGAGGGGCGCCCTGGGGGGAGCCTGAGGCGCCACAGAGGCCACAGAGGGCGCCCTGGGGGGCCCTGAGGGGCGCCACAAGAGAGCCTGAGGCGCCACAAGAGAGCCTGAGGCGCCACAAGAGGGGGAGCCTGAGGCGCCACAAGAGGGGAGCCTGAGGCGCCACAAGAGGAGCCTGAGGCGCCACAAGAGGGGGGGAGCCTGAGGCGCCACAAGAGGGGGAGCCTGAGGCGCCTGGGGTGGGGGGGCTGAGGCGCCCAAGGGGGGGCCTGAGGGGCGCCCCGCAAGAGCCTGAGGCGCCACAAGAGGGGGGCCTGAGCCCTGGGGAGCCCTGGGGCGCCCAGGGGAGGGGCCTGGGGCGCCACAAGGGGGGGGCCTGGGGGACGCCCAGGAGCCTGAGGCGCCACTAAGAGGCCTGAGGCGCCACAAGAGGGAGCCTGAGAGAGGGGCGCCACAGAGGCCTGAGGCGCCCTGGGGGGGGAGCCTGAGGCGCCCTGAAGGGGGAGCCTGAGGCGCCCTGGGGGGGAGCCTGAGGCGCCCTGGGGGGTGAGGCGCCACAAAGGGAGTGAGGCGTACAAGAGGTGAGGCGCCACAAGAGGGTGAGGCCACAAGAGGTGAGCGCCACAAGATGAGGCGCCCCTGAGAAGTGAGGCACCTAAGAGGTGAGCACTAAGAGGGGAGGCGCCACAAGAGGGGAGAGCGCCACAAGAGGTGAGCGCCACAGAAGGGTTACCACTCTTAAGAAGTGGTTCCTTGACATTCGCCTTTATGCCTGTGTGGTGTTTCCTGTGAGATGGGACTACTTGCTGAGTCCTTTCACCATGAGAGAAGTTCCTTGTTTCAAAATTCAGAAGACGTTCAGTTTGTCACTTTGGATGAGTCATTGGGATGAATTTGTTGTTTGTGTTTGTGGCTGAGACACCGTTGAATATGGATGAGTCAATGTTGTGAATCAGTGTGGATGAATTACCTGCAGGAATAACAGTGGAAGCATTAGGTGTGCTGGTAGATGTTTGCAGTAGATAACTGTTAGGGGTCAATATTCTGCAATATAATTATAGTGTGATAATATTTAACGGTTTACTGAAAAAGAACATTAGGCTAAGGCGGAAAAACATAGTTACATAATTGAGAATGGATCCTTGACTGACAAATAATATACAAATACAGATATGGTTGGGAAAGTCATACAACAGAATTTCAACAAGCCAACTGTGCAAAAATAAAATTGAGTTGGGAGTGAAACACACTGGTTGACTAGTTGATGATAATATTTACAGTGGTTGGAAGTTGGGTTGTTCTTATAGTGATCGAGAACAAGCTCGTATAGGCTGGAGGGTGCAGAGGCTTCTCCCAAAATTGCATGTGATCGTGGTGATGATCAGAGAGCCAGAAGTGGGGATAGAATAATCTTGTACGCCTCTTCTACACTTTTTCTTGGTGTTCTGTTGTGTTGCATTTGGGAGGAAGACCAGGAGAAAGCATGGGTGAGCAGGTATGAATGTTGAGTAAGCGATGAGGGCTCATGCAGGAACGAGGACGGACAGCAGGAGAGGTGGAGACGAAAACTGGAGGATTTGACAGGTGCACTGGCGTGTTTATTAAAATTTAATTTATCTATAATGACATGAGCTTGGTCAGGTCTACAACCTGGAGTGTGCTGGGGCTCCTAATGGAGGGAGATGGAACAGGGTCAAGTGGGAGGTTGATGTGCATTAACTATAGTGCTTGTTTGGTTGATGTGACATCGTTCTTGGTATTGTTGGAGGCTGTTCAATATCTGAAGAGCAATGCTGGTCAGGCCAGAGTTGTTCTGATCCCAATGGTGAAATTCGACATATATCCAACGAGCAGGGGTTTCTCTTAGGGCATCATTAAAGCATAAAACAGAAGTGGTCCATCTTGGTGCCTGGGCGTCTGGGTCAGTGACTGAAAAGATTGGAGACAACGTGCAGCCAAATCAGTCACTAAAGTGTGTGTGTGCTGCAAGTGTCTGGGTGGGGGTGTTTATGTTGTCTGGAGAATGTGCAGGTGTGGGGAGGTTTGTGAGGAGGTTGTGTTAGAAAGAAAAAATCATATTGTCATTGTTTGATTTTCAATGTTGGCCAAAGTTCTTGTTGGCTGTTGTCGAAGTCTATCTAG